TAGGAGCTCTTACTGCAGTAGACGAAACAGCCATGCTCTTTGTAAAGTTCAGCCATAGAAGGATGAAGAGGAAAAGAATAATAAAAAAGGTTTTGTTAAATATTTTCTAATAATTTCTATGCTTTATGAAAACTTTGCACTTCTTGAAAACCAAAGAAATGTCAATATATTAATTCCTGTCTTTGTTTGTGAAGAAAATGGTACACTTCATTCAACAGATCTATTTTCTTTCTCTTCTTTCCCCCATGAAAATAAAATACATTATCTGTTCACCTTAAACAAGATATGTCTAGTCTCTTAGAAAGACGCCTATGGAAATCTTCAGCTCTTAATCTGATTTTTCCCTTTTTTTTCCACGACAGATAGGCACCTTCAAAAGTTATGAGAAAGTGCTTTAAACTCATATTTTAAGAGACACATATTCAGCCATTGTGGGGATGCGTGCAGGTAGCTGCAAGATTCTGCTTCCTGGAAACCCTTTAACACTGCTGCTAGAACTTCCTATATTATATTTTTTAGCAGAAATAAATTAGTTGATCTGATCTGAAGGTCTCAGTTTACCACAGGTTTTCAGACCACAACTACAACAGCTATGCTTCTGTTAACTTGTCACTGAGTTTATCTCATCTGTTCAGAGAATCCTAACTATGCCAAGCTATAGCACAGAAAGAAGCATCCTGCCTTTATTTTTGCTGAAGTTATTCCATTTTATTTAGAAGAATTCAAGACTTGTCAGACAAAGATCACCAGAATTAACTTGACTGTGTAACCAGTAAGAGTTGTCTTGATACCCAGTCCTTGTTTGAATTATATTTTATCTAATCACATAACGTCTACTTCATGTAAAAGTATATAAAGTTAATGAATTTGGGTCTCTCTCAAGTGAAAACTTTATGATGAGGCAGGAGTTATATCTGAAAGCGCCACCATCTAATTCTTGCAGATTACACAGGCGGCATTCAAGCATGATGGAATTCAGGATTACGCCACCAGGTTATCCTCTCCTGGAAGTTTTAATTCACTTACATTATCCTCCTATGTTTTCCCTGTTAGGCTGTGATTTTTTATGAAGATAAAAATTAAAAAAAAATCCTGATGTAATCCTATACTAAGCCTTAAGAGGAATGGCGTGGGACTTGTCTTACCATACTCCCTTAAAGTTCTTGGGAAACAGTCTAGACATTTTTTGTTGTTATTTTTTTCTTCACTGGAGCTGCCATTATTCTAGCTCACAGTACCAGATCTTTAGAGAGTCCCTTGTGGTGATGAATTGTGAGTAAAAATCTATAGTCATACACTGATAGTGGGTATTCTTAGGCAGGAGCAGACAAAACCAGCTGGTTTATATATAAACCTCTAAATTTATTTCACACAAAATAAGCTTTTACAGCTTTAACCACACAACTTCTCTTTAATTTGATTTAAGGTTTTACATTTCATTTGACAGTCACTGAAATGTATTGCATTGTCTCAAAGTGGTACTAAATTCTGAGCTGCCAACACCAATATGGCAGTCTTAATTTTATCCATCAGTAGTATAAGAAGAAAGAAAAACATTTTAAAAATGGAGGAAGTATACTTTGCAGAGTTAAGGCTTCAAGAAGACAAATGCAATTAGTTTTTTACTCTCACTGCTCAGTTAACAATTTGCAACCTGGAGGAGTAACAAGTCAGTCATTGAATAGTGTGTCAACACATGTATCTCATCTTTTATTGTGGCATTATCCTGCTGTTTTTACATTCTCAGAAGTGGACCTGCTACTGAAACTTATCATTATACAAAAATTAGGATGATTTAATAACAGTAGTTCGATTCCAAGGTTTTCCATGTAATTGGTTATTTTTTCTGTAAATCTTTATGTAATGCCAAATTGGCAGTGCTCAGTTTTCACATGTAGCATAGTTTGGTTTGGGTTTTTTTGAGTGCCTTTATTTTTTCTGAAAATAATCTATTCTTGACACTTACATCTTAGCTTTTAGAATTAGAGGGCCCTGTAAACACATATAACACAGAGGGAGATCCCTTCCCACATACCAATAAATTATGGATTATTTAGAAACTTTTGTTTGCTTTTTAACTTTTATGCCTATTAGTAACAAAATAAAAGAGAATTGACTTCCCAGGTCTCTCTTTGAAGTCTATGAGTATTTATACTGCCTCCAATGGTTAAAGGTCCCCTGCCCTAAAATTTACCTTGGAATGAGAGGCCACTCTAAGAAGCTAAAATGAAAGCTTCCCTACTGAGGCTAATTGTGGCACCTTTATGATGTCCCTAAAGCACTGTTAGAGAAAAAATATTTTGATCATTGAAGGAACTGAGCCTTCAGGCAGCACTGACAGCAGTGACACTGTAGTCACTGGCATAGAAGATAAATGCAGTGAATTCAAGTGAGTGCTTAAACTTTAAAGCAAATGGGTGTAAAAATCTCATCAAGTACGCGATTTTTATAGAATCAGACCCAACAGAATATTTTTCATTCTCTTAAGGCAGGTGGGCTCTGCACAGACAGCACTGACAGTTGGAAACTCCCAGATTTTAATCCCAGTTTCCACTCAAATTCTGTCTGTGATCATCACAGGCTACTCACATTGCTTACTGTACTTAAAGTCTCATTTCCTAAAAGGGCCATGTCAGAAGGTTATTTAATGAAGAGAATTTTACATCTGGAGCAATATGTTGAGGGAAGACATATTGAGAGATTATCACGTCGCACAGCAACAGTGCATGTTTTAAATTCATTAGCGGTCCAGGCAGTGCCTGGTGCCCCCTGGCTCCCCACAGTTCCCAAGATAGTTTTGAATCCGTCCTCCCACTCTGTTAACTCTGGTTTCTAACACTGGGTCTGTCCAGGCAATCCACGCAGCAGCAGGGAGGGAGGGCAGAGGCTGCAAGCTTGGAGAACGTAAGTGACTTTGGAAATGCTTTTCTCCCTGACAATATTGCCTCTGTTGTGAAGGACTGGCTTCCTCAGACAGTCCTATCAGGACTGCAAGGTTCTCAGGCCTGAAAAGCTACCCAAATAGAGTGTTTAGCCTTGCCTGGACTCAGACTATTGTTTTGTAATAAAAGTTATAAATTGAACTTCAGCAAACAGCGTTAGTGAATAAATGGTGCATCTGATGCTATAGTCTTTGAGTGTAAGAGGCCTTATAGTTTCTGCCTCAAGAACATCAGCTAACACACATAACTTGAGGTCTGCACCACTGACATCTTGCACCTTTATTCCTATTTTGCCCATTCTTTTCATCTGATGACTGCTGCTCCCGTTCATGTTGGCCTACACCTAGGAAAGTGTTTTCATTACTGAATGGGGGAGGCATGGGAATTCAAATGCCTTCTTCAGAGCAAAACAAGATTATAGGAGTCATGAGACTGTTACCTCTGTTCACTGTTTGCATTAATTTAGACTTAGTAACGATGAAATCCCTTTTCCCTGTTCAGTTACTGGATTCTTGAAGCTGTCATCTTGTCCTGGTTGGAAACAGAATTTCAGTAAAACCCTCCTCGAAAGACTGCAAGAAATGTTCCTAAGCCAACTTATTGTCATTAAACATTTAGTAAGAAGATTCAGTTTAAAACACTGTGAGTTGGCCACCACTTCATTTAATTAACATTGATTCTGAATGCACAATATAAATTTTAGTGCTTTTTTTAATCACTCTTTATATTCGTTGCACTGATTCTAAAGCTTATATGATTATAATCATCATCCTCAAAGTAAAAGGATTTTTCCCGTGCCTTCCATTCCTTAAATTGTTTTTAGATTTCCCAAGGGGCATATATTGTGTAAGATTATGATGATAAAGATTTTAAGCAATTATGTTTCTTTAGTTGGAAGCTGAAGTTAATGTTTTTGAAGGTTGCATTCCCAGGAGCCCTGGTAAAAACAGAAGCCATGACGCCCCTCCTTTACATCTAAGGCACCCAACTGTCAAAAACAAGGCAGAAAGGCTAGCCTATCTTTGTGAACCACAAGTCAATTTCTCACTTAATATATCTGCTTTTGGTTGACTAGAAGATGTCTGTAACAGAACATTAACAAACACTGTAATTTGCTGGGGTCAGCCAGGTCTGCAGCTTTGTGACTCTGAGCCCTCTTAAATTATGCTATCAGCTTTCAAAACCTTATTAGGTTTAACCCATTTCGGCGCCACTGGCTTCTCGGAATCACCAATACACCTCTAATCAGAAAACCGCAGAGAAGCCAATCTGCTGCTCTCAGAAACCTCAGTACAATTTTGTGTATTAATATTTCAGAAAGCATGTAGGAACACATGCTCCCTGCTGAGCATTACAACCAGGCAAGCTACAGTAACAGCGGAGATTGATCGCCAGTAAACCTGGCCAGAGAAACTTACTGATGTCTCTTGTCTGGCTGTGGATTTGGTAACCAAAGAAGGGAAAATGAAATGGGTTATTTGCCTTGTGATTAATAAATTCCCATAACTGTCAAGTGAGACGACGCACAGAAGTTACATCTCTTACAGGAATAGAAAATACTTAAAACAGCACCTGAGGGTTACAATTTTTGCACCGTTACCCTATGGCTGATGTTACAGACTTTTTCCCATCTCTGGTGAAAAGACATTCGGGCAAGTGTTTCTGAAGTGCTTCTCGGACATATGCAGCTGTGCATCCTCAGGCTGTTTCTGGACTGAATAAGCAAGCCACTGGAAAGAGAAGAGAAAAAAAAAAAAAAAAAAAAAAAAAAAAGGAGAACTGTTTTCCAGTGGTGAGCTATTACACATCTCGCTTTTCCTCCCCTTGAAAGTCCATATTCAAAGACCAGGGAAACACACCTGACACCCGTTCGCTGCGGTGCCGGTTTTCACCGTAGCGGCAGGCGAACACGGCGGCCGCCTCGACGCCGGGGCCGGGCTGGGCCCGGGGAAGGCGCGATGGGCGCCGGCCCGGCCGCCGGCAGCGTCGCCCCTTCCTGTCCTTTCCCCTCCCCTCCCCTCCCCTCCTCCCCCCGCCCCGCTCCGCGGCCACCAGCGGAGCACCCGGCCTGCCCGCCCCGCGCACCCCGCTCTGCGGCCGCGGCGGAGGAAACGGGAAGGGCCGGCGCGGCCGGGCGCGCAGGTAAAGGCGGGATCGCGGCGCCGCGGCCCTACCTCCCGCGTGTGCGGGGACAACACGGTTGTTTTGTTTGTTTGTTTGGTTTTTTTAAATAATTTTAATATTTCTTTTTCCTCAGTTTGGAGCCGTTTTACGTCGTTAGAGGTAATTTGTGTCCGGGTGGGTGCGGCGGCGGTGCGGAGGGAGCCGCCTGGCCCTGCCCGCCGCCTCAGGGCCCGGGGCCGCGGGCGGGCTGGCCCAGCTGCCCAGCCCTCCGCGGAAGGTATCAACCCTTAGCGCTTACAAGCTTTCAGCCCTGTTAATTTAAACTAACGTGAGATCTACTGGGAATTATCTATATTAAAAAAAAAAAAAAAAAAAAAAAAAAAAAGCAAAACCCCCAAAAACATGAACCCCCAAACTTTATGAAATCAGTGTTTCGCTGACACTTGTGATGTTTGGTGTGGTGTTTTCCTTCTGGAGAGTTTGATTGAAAGAAAGTATCAGCGTTTATTTGGCCCAGCTTTAACTTGTTTGCAAAGTCATCTCTCTGAAAGCTTCCAAAATAAGAAGTAAGTTTACAAATGACAAAAATATTCTTTTATTGGAAAAAAATACGTATGTACCCACGTAATTTGGAGTGCCTATATAATACTTTAGCAGTCTCATGTCTTGCCCACTTTTTTTGCACTAGACTGTAGAAGTTAATATTTTAGATTGCTGTTATGAAATAAGCTTAAAGGGCCCTTTAGGACTGTCGCATCTCTTCAGGCTTTAATTTATTATTTTTTTTTTTTTTAAACTTCCTCCAGGCTAGTGCGCAGAAAGTGCTTTTGTTCTTTGGGACTTCTGAAAATAAGCTATGAAAACAACTGAGTTTTAAGCAGAAGCATACCCATTGGACTCCATAGGTTATGGAGACATGCACACCAAAAAAATTAGTAAAGCTACTATTTACATTATAAACTAAAAATTTATCAGTTTATATCAAGAGTTATCCTGACTCCAGGGAATCCAAATTTGAGATGTTGCCAAAAGTAGCTAAACCTTATCAAGTCAACAGAAGTTCTACTTTTTCTATTCTTTTTCTTTTCTTCCCTTATTGATTTTAACAGTATTTTGAAGGGATTGTCTTGGGCAGATCAGAAATATGTGCAGTATTCTAATGGCAAAGCCTGATGGTGCTTGATGCTTTATAATCTTAATCTGCTGGAGCAGGTGATGCTCTACCATATCAAAACCTAGATATTCTCTTTTTAGTACTCTTCTTGATCTGCAGGTTTTTCAGACATTCTCTTCAGACCACTTTGTCCGTGCTTTCATATCCTATTTTACCACCATTTTTGTGCCAAGATAGTGTGGTGTGCTCACTCTTTGACTGAAATGTTTTCTTCTTTGTATGACATATTAATAAAATTAGCAAGAGAGACAGATTTACCCTGATCTAATAGGGTAGCTGGCAAGTTGAACTGTTCATGCAGGATGTGAGAGATCTCTAGTTCTCAGTCATACCTCTTAGGAGAGTTCCCTAACGTATTTTAAGCTATTATGTAAAAGGTAGTATTTGCACTTCTCTGCTTTTAAAAACAAGTGACTAAAACTACTGAGTGATCTCAACAGACAAAAACCCCTTCAGAACTACACTAAGTAAATTGATCCATTTTGATCAATCGATAATCTGAGGATTTTTAGACTCCTTTTTACCTTCTGATCAGTATTTTCATCAGGTCTTTGACCTGACCTAGTCATTTGACAGCTCATGCATGTTCTGTATACTCTCAGAGCACTACCATCAACTCTGAGTTTGTGTCAACCTGTTCTTTGTGTATCCTAGAATGACATCCAAGATCAGATTATTTGAAAGCAATATTCTTGCTGTCTAATTTCCTTTGTAGTTTTCAGAGTGATGGACAGTTTTAACGACCCTGGAAAATCACTAATGCTTAAGCAGGTCATTAAGAAAGACATGGAAGGAAAATAGGGACACTGGACAGTAGGAAATAATGTGGAGGCAACCTAAGGAGACCATGAACATCAGAGTGTAGAATATAGAATAATTTACATCATATGCCCTTGTCCCCTCTGTGCACATAGGTGATTGCTATTGACTCTGAGCAAAACTATGTTTGCCCATCTCTGCTCAAAGACTGAAGGATGCAAAGAGTAAATCGTTGCACATGTAGCACACTTACATCCAAGTTTTGTTCTGTACTGCCCGTGATTCAACTTCTATATTATAAGGAAGTTACAAGAATTAAACTTTTTTCAAAGAAGTTTGAAGATGAGTGCTCAAGACTTAATAGTTATTACATATTTATTGATCCATTCAGAACTTCGTTTGATAGTGGCTGATGGAGGAGGCTTTTAGGCACTAGTTTATAATGTCAAAATGCAAAAATAACGCAGAACGACTTAGAAGGAGTGGTAGCACCAGGAAGAAAACGGTAACTGTGTCTATCAGTATTTAACTTGACATTGTTACCATTTGGTCACTTTCAAGAAAAAAAGTTTATATATAAACGCAGAAAAGGAGTTTACACAAATAGATCCCCTAATTCCAGGGTAACAGCCTGTCTCTAGCGATGCGTTTTTTATGTTGGAGACAAAACTACACGATAAAACATTTTTTAGAAACATTTGCTAAACAAAGCCAAGTAACTTTCTGGGAGTACAGTGAGAAAGCTGAGCAAAGGGAGCCTGGTTAAATATCTAGGAATTTGGAATTGTTTGTTGCTAATAGCACATTCAAGATGTAGAGTTGTAACTGCTAGTGCCATCCTTCTGATGAGTTGGAAAAGTAATATTCTGTAAAGGGAAATAAAAGGTTAATCTTTAATTCTACAGTTATTCCACAGCAATATGAAGATATCCATCTTAATGCCAATCTGACAAGAGAAAGAGATAAAGCTGACTTATGGTATTGGGGGTTTTTTTGTTCTCTGGAATGATGCTGGGGCAAGGTAGACTATAGCTTCAGACTATAGCTGAACAAAGCTGAACCACCTTCTAATCTTGTATGCATAGATTCTTATGACAAGATTATGGAAATCCCCAGCTCATCCAGTTGTCCAAGGCTGCATCATAGAAATTCTCAAGCACACAAAGAACATTACTAGTGATGATTATAATCATGGAACTCATTTCTTATGTGAGGAGTCCTAATACAAGCAAGTAACCCATTTTTAATTTTTTTTTTCTTGCCCACCTGAGCACCCTGATCCCATTTTCTGTAGTGGTACTGTTGGCATGAATATGGATTAAAAGATCAGCGAAATTGCTAAATATATGAAGCCTCTCAAACCCATTTTCTGGACAAGGATCTACATGTCAAATTAATATCTTTGGAAAAATCCATGTCTATTTCTAATCTGGTCAGTGTAACTAATATAATCTTTCTTATGGTGTAGACTGTTGGGGGTCCCTCCAGGAAAGGTCTTCCAACCCCCCTTTTCTGCAGTTTAAGAGACCTTGAAGTAGCAAATATGAAAACAGTTAAGGAGAAAAAGATTTAAATATAGGAAAGATCAGGACACATGTGCCCACTTGTTCACAGAAGTATTGAGGAACTATGTTTTCTGTGTTGGGGAGAGGGGAGGGGGAGTGGGGTAAAGATGTAATTGGTGCTTATCTTCCAGTAATTTAGTATTTTCGTACTCAAAAATTATCCTGATTTGATAGCAAGCTAGAAATTAAACCACTTCTTGAAATAGTCTTGAGGCAGAAATCTTCATGCCATATAATAAAATATATTTTTCTCAATTAAGGAAAACATTTGCATTGCTTTTTTCCTAGCCAAACAAATTCAGTTAGGAGAAACACAGTTTCATTGTGCTTCCATGAGGATTCAGACAAAATCTTGTTTTGCTGAATTAAAAACCATTTGTTACAAGAGGTAAATGCCTTCTAGATCTTGTGGGATCCTGAGAGGTCAGCATATCTAGATGTTGTGATCTGTGTGGGGGCCTTACATTTTTGCTCTGTCCATAGTCTCCAGGAACCCTGGTTCACTTCTAACAGGGTTCTCTTAATGTGCTGCTTCGCTTCATCTTCCCAGAACTAGAGGCAGTAATTCCATCAAAGTTTATAAGCCATGGTTTTTAATGCACATTTCAATGATTTTTTTTGTTTTTCCCTTGCGCTCCACTTCCTGCAGCTTTATTTTGACTCCATTCACTTTCCCAAATATCCTGGGAACTGTAAAAGAATGACAGAATTTTTTCTTTCCTGATTAGGTACCTCTGCTGTCTCACTACCTTGCTTCTAGCAATGCAAAACTGATGAAAATCAATGAAGGTCTTGCACAGCTTTACGTAATATTGTTTTTCTGTCACCTTTCTGGAAGCCACATCTTACCTTTAGAGTTTCATAATAATATATAGCAAGTTCAGAATGAGTCTGTATTTGACTTGAAGTTTGCAGAGAAACTGCTGTCAGTGAACTAATGTTTTGCTGTGGCTTTGTGTAATGCAGTTGTTACTTAAAGCAGAAAAGCTCACGTGGTGGTTGTGTACTTCCTTCTGAGTTACTAGCATCTCATGCACTTCTTACAAGCTGAGTTGTAGTTTGTGGAAAAAAAAATGATGTACTGAAAAGCACTCCACGTGTGCGGGTAGTACAGGTGCACACATACAATGCTAATGAAATATGTGATTTCTCACTGCACATCACATCTCCAGTCTTTCTACCAAGTGTCAGTATAAATAAGCATTTCTTGCTAAATTGCTTTAATTTCATCAGTATGACTGCAGACTTTTGGGCCTCTGACTTTGCTGCTCATCTTTCACACAGCTCGAATCAAAAGGCTGTAAAGTTACCCCTTGTTTACAGAAGTGTCTTGCCAGCTGTTCGTAAATCATTCCTGATAACCTGTGAAGTAAACACCCTGATAGAAGTGCATTTGTTAAGAAGCTTCAGAACCACTTGATTGTTGCTGACTATACTTTGAAATGACTCTTGTTTGGATGTCAAAATTATGTTGGTGTTTAGCTATTGGGACAGAAGTTGGGAGATTAGAGGTTTATTTAGCTATAAAACTGCCTTTGTAGATTTATTAGAATTAAAAGAGCTGAAAAATAGTCAGGTAGTAGCCTCGAGTTTTCAATTCTTACAAACTTTATTAGCTAATAACCTGACAGCGCATTGCTGGAGTCTTACTGGTGTCAACAGGTGCATTGACAATCTCTGTATATTGGGGAGGATGGAAAGATTAATGCATACATATAAATTAGTATACATGCCCTCAATTTCATCTCCATTACAAAAATAATGCATATGGAAATGTACCTTCAGTTGCTTTTCATGAAAGATAGACAGTTTTGTGGATTGTACTAGTTCTTTCATTAAACCCATTACTGAAGAAAGGATGTTGTTTCCTTTCTTTAAAAGAAAGAAACTAGTTTGACGTCATGCATTCAGGACTGCACTTAGGCATGATATGATTTGTTATTATTTATATGAACAGGTTTAGTTACTCTTCAAAAACTGTGTTTTACATGTTCTGGGAGTCAAGAGTATTCCATACAGATATCCAATTTGTGTTAATTTCTGTATAAACAGGATATTTTTGTATGACTGATAAGTAAAAGCAATTTCAGGTCACAGAGGAGCATTATTTTTTTTCAAAATTTTCAACAAGCTGTCAAGTAAATTATTTTGGATGTTAGAGGATTAGAATTGAGAAGTTTCAAAGCCTTCTTTTTATACAGTATACTTCAGTGCCTAAAGCACTTGCCTGGCTGGTTTTTGATCCTGGATCATACTTCTAAACAATAGTCATTTTAAGTTTTTAAAAAAATATGTCAATTCTTAGAGGCAGATTGGCCTTTTGAAAGTCGTTATATTTAAATATGTATGTAGGTATTTACAGTCCGTTCCTATTGTTACAACCTAACCCTAGGAGGATGATAAAAGATGGTGGACCACTCTCCTATTTTTTTTTTAATTTTTTTTTTTTTTCCCCAAAGTCCCCTACCCTTTTTCTTGTGTAACTAGAAAGCCTTCTGACACTGTAGAGATTAAGATTCTTGCTTTGTAATTTTACTGTGTGAAATAGTTCTTTAATGATGTAATACAGTATCTAGGATATTGTACCAATTAATTTGCACTTGCAGTGCATATGACACAACAGTGATGTGTCTGGTAGCATGCTTTCGCATCGCTGATCACATGACCAAATTTTTTTCTGATTGTCAAATATTTTCATTTGGATATGCTGCTTAAGAGAGCTTGAACCCTCACCCCCCTGCAAAATCAACAAAACAAAGAGTTTATAGATGTCTGCTAGTGTAGATTCTCTTAGTTGCTTAAATAACACAGGCAACTTAATTATTATTTTTAAACTGATTTTTTCTGTTTAAATATTCTTACTCCAGAACAAGAGCTTTATGTCTTGTTAAGGCGTCTTGCACATTGTTGACTTCCATTCACATCAGAGGAAATTGAGTTTCATGCAATACTCCAATGAAATTGTTCGGTATTATTCAGTATTACCTTAAAAGATAATATAACAAAATTTATTATCCAGCCAAAGTCTGAATAACTGCTCATGGTATCCTGTCAGAGTGAATCAGAAACTCAATATTGGACAGAGCAGTAAGTGTTACTCATTTTTAACGTTGCCAGCAGAAATAATAGAACAAATGGGAAGGTACTGCACTGTGAGTTATCTCTGTAATTGGCACTGCCTAAAGCTGACCTTTAGGTTTCCAAAGCATAATGTGTATCTTGGGCACACAGCAAGAAGAGGAAATAATTAAATTGACAGGTTGGACTCATCATTGGAAAAAAAAAAATAATATATATATATATATATAATCCATTTTACATTGACACATAATTCTTTGAGATTCTGGAAGCCATCCAAAATCCATTTTAGTATTTTGAGACAAATGGCTGACACTTTGTAATAATCAGCTATTTAAGGTCAACAATTTAAAACAGTGGCCTACTTGTTCCAAATTAAATTTATTGTTTGAAAGGGAGTTTAGTGTTCAGCTATATGTGCAGAATCTGAAAACAAACTGACCTCCTAGAAGGAACTTGTCTGCATACACAACCGTTTACATGCACATCTCATGATGTTAATAGTGTCATAAAGGTTGATCAGTTCGATTAAATGCATTTGCCATTCTCTAGTAATGTACAGAGTGGCATGTGCATTATCTTATTAAAGTTTTACTTTATGAAAGGCAAGCTGGTTATAAAATGTTCTGTCTGCTGTGACATATTGAAAGACACATGGTGTGTATACCCAAATCACCTATCAGATCTCACTTTTCTAATTAATAAACATTGTGGCAAAATTTTGCTCTAGGCATATTTTGACTTTTACTGCATATGTTTTTAAAAACATGTTCCAAATGCTGGTCTGTCATCTTGTATAATTCTTTATTTCATAACTTAGCAATCATGACAGATTTTTGTAGGTGTACTGCCTACTGAAAAACTGCGTCTTGGTCAATACAATTTATTGAAAAGCAAAGGAAGCATTAGCTGTGTTTAATATCATTCTCAGCATTACACATAACTGAACCAATGCTTTACTATGCTCCAGGGGTGATAAACAAAATACCTACAGCAGGATGAGGTATAGTTCACAGAATTTCACAGTGCTTTTAACAAGAATAAAGCTAAAGCTTAAGAGAATTAATTGCAACATTGAATGTAGAGCACTTTGGATTATCTTTCTTGATCATTTGATTGAAAAAACATTTCCTACACATGCTTTCTCAATACAAGATCAGAATAATTACAGCTGAGTAAATGCCTCAGAAAACCTCTTGTGTTTACACTGAATAAAACAATATGCTAAATTGCCCTTGCCTGTGCTTATGCTTTCTCCCTGCTTGCCCCAGCTGTTTTAATGAATAGTTTAATATGAAAAATGTGTGCAGAAAAAGCTGCTTTCTCTAAGACTTCAGTAATTGTTTTTGAGGTTACCGGTCTCAAAAGACAGTAATTGCTCAAGAAATATCATCATAAAAAGTTGCTTGGACCAGTCATACTGTGGATCACATAGTGTGTGTCCAGCTCTAATTAAAGATGTAATTAAAGATCGTTGGACACTAGTTTAGATGATTTGGTAAATATTATTCAGCTACACTAGCTAAAGCTGCCAACACATTTGGACAATGCGAAATGGGGAAAAGGTGAACAGTTCCTGCGCCTGCTTTCTCAGAGATAGTGTCGGATTTTCACTCGGAGCCTGGACGCCGTGGGCCTGCGATTGGTATCCCCCTCTAGTGCTCCCTCAGCTTGGAGTGAGGCTGCTTTGAGCAGGGGGCTGAACAGGGGACATGGAGGAGTCCTTTTCAAACTAGATTACCCGCTCCCATCCCCATAAAGCAAAATCCTATCAGTGAATTTGCTTCATTCTTCTGGATCTGCCTTTTGTTCTCATTTGTTGTGCCATTAACTCAACTTGGAAATCCTGCTCAGCAGTTCTGCTGGTAGGCCTCGCAGAGGCAGTTGAGCTGCATTAGACTTTGTGGAAACCACTTGCTTGAACTACAGTGATTATCAGCCTTCTGTTTTCACTTGTGGAACAGCACATTCGTTGTCTTAGTATTTGATGTACTTAATTTTCATCCTGTCGCTGCATGCTCAGAGGACTGATCATATCATTTTAACTGACGGCATTTAATTTAACTGTCCAGGTCAGGATCTTGACTGCACTCTGGAGCTGATGGTGTGTTGGGACCCTCACTTCTGCCCGTGCTGGAAGCGGAGCACATAGACCTGGCAATGGGAAATTCCCACAAATGCGCAGCGACCTTATACAGTACGGTACCTTATGGTGGTAACTCAGCTATCTGGAAATAAGATAAGCTTGCAAATGTATCCTTCCCAGGAGACTAAAATAGCTTGGTCAAAATGCAAATAAAATGCTTCAGCAGACAAACCCATTTGTTTAGGCCTAGTTCTGCATGACCCCCTGTTTCACAGGGAGTTATTTGCAAAGACCTTGTCCAGATTAGAAGGGTTCTGCTCTCAAATGGTATTGTACTGATGCAGTGAACCTGTTTAATTTATTAATTACTCATCTGGTATGAAGTGGTAAGCAGCTGCATGTGGAAGTGTGTGGGGAAGGAGCTGCAGTGCAAGGCAGGGGTACAGCACTCCTCCCTGCTGCGGCCAGGACAACTGACTGCATCTGCAAAGTCTTCTAAACAAAGTGGGGTCTGCAGTAGGGTAGAGGGTGCTAACAAAAGCTTAACTAGCTCTGTGCAAAACAATAAATTTGGGCAACTTTTTTCGCCTTGATAAAGAAATGGACAGGAGAATCTTACTTCTTTTTGTGATACAGAATGGATGCGTCGACAGGTAGAAAATCTGAAAAAAGTAAGAACACCAGGGTTTGATTGAGAAGTGTTACTATCTTCATTCTTCTTATAACATTATTAATGAAATAAATAATATCCCTATAGGTAAATATAGAAAGGTGATGATAACTATAATTAAAAAATCTTTTAGCATTTTTACACTAGATCTTGATGTTAAATATGACTTTTTTTTTTTTTTTTTGACATGATGATATGTAGTCTGTTTAACCTATCAATACCAAAAGGACTAAGGACTCATGTGGAAAAAATGTTATTCACTGTATTTTCCCATAACCTCATATCTTCTTCAGTTATTTACACCTATTCACAGTGGATGCAAAACAGTGATAGATTGTAATTATCTCCTTGTGTGAAACAGTGCGTGCATTTTATCATTTACACTTTGCCTGGGTGTAAATTACATGATCAGTCCCAGAACATTCTCTCAGGAGTGGATTACCTGAAGAAAACTTGAAAATGGGGTCATCAAAGTAGTAAATTCATAATTTGAGTGTCAGTGTCCTGCTTTTGTTGAAAACAGTGTCTGTTTTTTTCCACTGTTGGTGGGGAAAACATTGAAAATGAGGGTCTTATTTTAACTACCTGAAGGGGATTATAAAGAAAGGACAAAAGAAGTTATTCGCTGTTTCTTGGTTTGCATCAGGTACAGACAGTTTGCTCTGCACTTATGTCCCAGTTGTGGTTTACAATTAATATTGCTTCACTTTCTGCATACGGAGCTACCCGAGTGCTCCTGTGTCAACACTACAGGAAGCTGTAGTGAGATCCTAAATATCATAGGAGGTAATGTGTTAGTCTCACAGAAAACATAAAGCAGATCATGGGCTGAAGAGAAAGATTGTGCTTAATCACTTCATTATCACCTTTGTTTTGTTCACCCAGACCCTGTTACAGTTCCACATTGCTAAGGGACTGCCTAGGGACAGACTGTACTAAGAAAAGTGCAGGTCCTGTTTTATGTCAGTGCTGTAATTTCTGCGTTCTTTTCTCACCTTGTATTGTAAGAAATAATCATCTTTGTTACTAGAAGTACTTTTGGTCTTTGTTTTCATACCACATCTTGGATTTTGATTTGAACAGCTCTGTTTTTTTTTTTTTTTTTAAAAAGGGGCTTGGTCAGCCAACAGGTGTTGATAAAGGTATGTGAAGAATTTTGCAATGTGTTCAATGCTGTGTCTTGGTGATGGGTAAACTTCATTGCTGTTGCAAGTTCTCTGAATACAAAACAAGGACTTCAGTATCACAGAGTTAAGTAATATGCCCGTGAAGAACGTGGGTGGTTCTGCTTTTGGGAATAACACTGAAGATGAAGATATTTTAGATTTCCTTCAGAGGAACTAGTTGCAATTGAACAGGTTAGTGGTTAGGATGAAAGTGACTGTGAAAACCAAGATAGCATATCTAGAGAAAGAAAATCTTTAAAACAGTAGACATTTGGATTAAAAGAAATCTATAAAGTTAGTATTATTAGTTGAAGTTAGTAGCTGTTAGTTGGTATATGAAGAATTCCCTGAGGAAGACATCTCACTGGGAGTAAAAGAACACAGGGTAGACAGATGGCAGCTTTGAAAAGGGAACATTCAAAAGGCACAGTAATGGTCTGTTTGGTGTTGAAAAGGATAGCAAGATACCAAAAGTATTTACCAGGGCCTTTCAGTGACCTGAAAATCAAAACAGAATTGTGCAAGAACATGGCAGAATATATTGTTAGGAATGGGTATAAAATAGTAATATAAGAATGTTTGGGCAAATTAAGGAATATTAAAGATTCTAGAAGTACTTTGAAATGTCATTTGAAAACGAGGAAAGCCGGAGGAAAGTATAGCTTCAGTGCCTAACAAAGTGAAGAGGGGAGTACTGGGTGAAATAAATGAGGCTGAAAGGTTTAATGCCTTTGTGTTCTAATTTTTCCGTTATTGGTGATCACGTGGTTGCCAGCGTGATCACAAAGCATTCTATATTAACTATTAGGGCAATGAAAATAATAAGTCTAGAATATTTAAAGGAACTACTAAATTGGGATAATGTGATGAAATTTGTAGTAGGCTATCTGTGGAGTTATCTGAAGAACTCTCTGAATTCTTAGTATTTGAAAATGATCGTAGGGTCCATAGGACTCCACATGAATGGAGGTTATCTGGCACAATTACAGAAGCAGAGGAAGGAGGGTCTGATATTCTGAACTGGTCAAACTAATGTAAATAACAAGGAAAACTTTGAAATAGCTTATCAAGCAGTTTAAAAGCCTCCAAAGGTGAGAAGAAACAGCTTGAGCTGTTCTGCTGAAAACATTGTGTCAAAAGCATTCTAATTTCTGTCTTGACAGAAAAGTTCTAATAGGCCTATTAGGGAGAAAAAGTTATGAATTACTGTGATTAGACTGTAACATTCTTATAAGAAAGAAGGGGAAATAAGTGCACAATGGTGTGTTCCTAGAGTGCTCCTACATTATAAATAGGCAAACATAAGTGGAGCATATCAAGTATTATTTTTTACTTCTGTTACTGCTTTGATGCCAGAATGGGGAAAGTATTCTAGTAAAATCTGAGCCCTAGTACTTCTGTGATTCTTGTTAGTGTCAGAGAACCAAGACTCCAAACACTTGTACAATTTAAGACAGGTCCAACAGAATGTTTATTGACTATGACCATAGGGAGAGAACGCTCCCCCTGTGCTCCCCTGTTCCCTGCCAAGAGTGCAGACACCCCACCTATCTACTGTTTTTTGGGGAAAAAAAGAAAGATGATGAAAAAAGCCAGTTGTTTTGATGTTAACAAAGCCAAGTATCCATCCCTGGGACGGATGGACTCCTTAGGTAGCTTGTTAACTGCCACAAGATGGAATCAAACAGAAGATACCCAGACAATATGGAGAGGGGGCTCTTGGTGGAGCCTGTGGGAGCAGCACAGCCAGTACTGTCTTGGCTCAGAAGTGAGGAGCTACAAGCAATCCCAGACCCTCAGCTTTTAGTCAAAAGGAAAGTTCTTTTACTAAAGATAACTTCCTAGCTAGGCCTCTCAATCTTAAATACTAATCTTTTTACCACTTCATTAGTTAAAGCAAAATCTGAGACCTTCTATGAGTGAAAATAATGTTTACCCTTGGAGATCTTGCCAACAGAATACCATTTCCCATAACTGGGAATTCTCTTCTAATATAAGAATACATATTTTTTCTATAGTGCTTTTGGCAAAATGACATAAAACTCTTCCTTTGCATTTTTTATCTGTATTGTGGGACAGTAGAGAAATCTGCTTTATTAAATTTAATTTGGTTATCTCAGGTGGGAAGTACTCCAAAATGCAAAGAACAATAGTATTACATGCCAGTAAAAAGTGATAAACTTATTCAGACTTTTTTTTCCCCCTCCTTCCATTCTAGTTTTAACTTGTTTATATTTGGTCCGTATTTAAATTTCAGCAGGTAGAAAATCTAAGTCCTCATCTGGGGGCCTGAGATTTTTGATTTCACTGCACAATTATCAAAGAATACATAGAATAGCTTAGGTCACACCTCAGAAGCCCAGAAGGTATGTGAAATGATCTTTATATTATAAGCTCTTGCAGCCTTAGCATGCTGTTGGTGCAAGTTACTCTCCTAAATTACTGGTCTGGAGCTTTAAAGTGCAGAGGTTTGCAGAAGTTGCCACTTAATACTAGTAGGTCTAGTATGTCAGTCAACATGAGCCATTGCATCAAGCGATAAGAAACATGTTTTTTCATGAAGTGTGAAAACGAAAGCCTGTTTTCCTTGATCTCTGTACTGCAGTAATTCCACCTCTTCTTTTATTCCCTCTGAAGTTTATAATTCTGTAATGCTTCCAGTTGCCCAGCTGTCCCTTTTAAGCCGGTAGTCTCACCTTGTCCTTGTGTCGTTTAATTAAGAGTACATGTTTTGCCTGGTTAACAAGTACATGCATTCACTTTGGCCACTCAGAAGACACAGCTAACTATTAATGTGACGCTTGCCTTTTGATGTTGTAAACATTTAATGTAGGTATTTCCCCTCTATTGGTTTTTCAGACTCCTCCTGATTTTTCACCAAGCTTGTAGAAACTTTGTCTTTTTAAGATCCTTATCGTTCTCTCAAACTGGGTTAAAATTGGCCAATAAATCATAGCTTACTAAGGAAAATAAGCACAGAATGCAATTCCAGAAAAGTTTTGGGAAATGCTTTAAAATTGTAACAAGCATCAACACTGCAGCTCTATTTTAAAAGTGGTGGCAGAAAATCCAGAAAAGTAGCATCATTTCAGTCTACCAGTTGGAAGATGATAAAGGAAAAAATTACGCAAGTCTACAGCTAAAAGTCTAAGTCAAAGCTGAGGCCTGAAGCCATGTGAAGATGTGTGATAGAGCATATGCAGAAGTGTAGCAGGTAAATACCTGGTTTTCCTGGTAGTATATTGGTCGTGCTTGAGAATCAGGCGATTCACATT